AAACAACAGTGCCTGGCTTAATTTGAATAATATAGGGGTGTTTGTTCCGCCCCCCCCCACTTCTTTTGATGGTAAATGATACTGATTTTCTATTTACAGCTGTAATAAGAAATTTTGCTTTTAAATATCTTTCAGCTTTAAAATGCAATTTAATCTAAGAAAAATTTAATTAAAGACTAGGACACAAGATACCTCCATGAATGTGCTAAAAATTATGAAAGTGATAAGAAAATGAGAAGTTTGAGAAACATGACCAAGCTTTCCCTTCCCAGCCAGCAGGGATTTGGGCCTTCTAAATAAAGAAGGTTCCATCTAAGAGACATCACCAGCTGCTCGGTTCCTGTGGTTGTAGCCTGATGGCTTCTCAACCTCAGCTGGATGTCAGTCTGTTCAGGCTGCTGTAACAACGTACCACAGACCAGGCGGCTTATACACAGCAGAAATTTATTTCTCACAGTCTGGAGGCGGGAAGTCTAAGATGAAGGTGCCAGCATGGTCGGGTGAGGGTTCTTTTCTAGATTGCAGACTTCTCCCTGTATTCTTACTTGGTGGAAGGGGCAGGGGAACACTCTCAGGAGGCCTCGGTTATAAGGGCGTTAATCTCTTCCATGAGAACTCTGTCTTCGTGACCTAATCACCTCCCTATGGCCCCAGCTCCCAATACCATCACATTGGGCGTTAGGACTTCAACATATGTATTTGAGGAGGACACAAACATTTGGACCATAGCACTGGATTAGAATCACATAGGAGTTTTAATAAAGAAAATTCCTTGGCTCCATTCTCCAAAGATTGTAAATGACCTCCCATGAGGTCTGAGTATCCATCCTTTTAAAAAGCTGCCAGACTATTTTAGTGTACAGCCGAAGTGAGAACAACTGTTGAGGACTTTGGGAAATACTTTCGAAAACTAGAGGTTTAGGGGCAACATGAGTTTGGTTTGGTCCCATTTTCTGCTATCTCCATCCCAGAAATGTCGTTTGTATCCACTATGAATCCAGCAAAAAGAACATAAAGATGTGTATTGTTGGCCATAGAGCAAAGGGGACAAGAGCTTTATTAGAGGTGATAAAACACATTTTGAAAATTACTGCTTCTTAATTAGCGTTCTCACAATGAATTTGGAAGGATAGTTATAAATGCAAGAAGATATTAATGTTAGCTTGTGCTGTCTCTAATTTGTGCTTTGCAAAAAGTGTACATTAAGCCTTGGAGTATTTGAAAATGTTTTAAAAAAAACCAGCGTCCCTTTTGTTATTGTTTTCTTGGTGATATAAACTGTTAACCTAAGTGTGTTCAGCTTCAAATTTCAAGTGTTCATCTGCTCCAGATTTTAGCCAAGTGTTGGAAGATGAGCATTGTCCCTGAGAGAGCAGAGTTATTGCAGTTTCAAAATGTAATCATTGTCAAATGCATCTGAAAGGTCGTGTGTTTATACATGGGTGCTCTGCTGCTGCTCTTGGTGTTTACAGAATTAGGTACCTCACTCTTCACCAGGCCACAGTGAGATCAGTGTAATTTAGGAGGTCGCTAATCTCCTCCTTTCACATGTCCTTCCCATGAAATTGGACTTGTACCTTTGGTCTTCCTTCTGTGTCATGAGAGTGTTGACATTTTCATCCAACTGCCTTGTAGCATAAATGAATGTTAACGAAGGTGCTTTGAGTTCCTATGTAAGAGCTGTTAAAAAGTGATCAAAGAAGACAATTTATGTGATAGAAACAAACTTTATTTAACACTTCGTGAAGCAGACAGCCTTCTTTTGCAGAATTGCAAAATGAGGTGGAAGCCAGGAAGACTCTATAGGATAAAGAAAAAAGAGAGAGAAATAGAAACTCTGATTGGCTGGGCCACACAGTCCACCTTGTTTTGGGGTGAAACAGCCCAGGGCTGGCTTGGTGTTTGAGGGTTGGCTGACTGGATATATTGTGTTTCTGGTCGAGGGAAGCATTTCTAGAGACACGAAAGTTATCTAAGTTTCCATTCACTGACATGCACCCCAGGCAGGAGTGGCTCCATCTTTGGCCTAGAAATTTATTTCAACAGAACTGGAGGTGAAATGCCAACAAAGGAAGAAACCCAGGCAAAGGCCTAAATGAGTCTTCTGGAACTCCAAAAGGTGCCTGGTTTGCCTGGGAGGTTCCCCTGAGTGCCCTGGTGCTGGACCAGGAATGAATGATCTCTGGAAGACAGACCATCAGATAATGTGCCCATCACTGTTTGCTCCACTTCTCATCCTGCTTACATTTTAAAAATTCAAAATTCATTTATTCAATAACAACTTAAGCACCTATTTGTGCCAAGCTTAAGCACTGAGATAACAAATGTGAACATGGAGACCACTGTTGGAGGCCCAAGTCAAGCCAGAAGGCAAGAACTTTGTTCTCAACTGGAGAGTTCTTAGGAGAATGACGCTGACATTCAGTCCCAGAAGCACTAAGCTTCTACTGAGGAATTGCAACAAGCAAAGAAGGCTTAGGTTGGGAGGACAGAAGTCCTTCAGAGTGTGTCAGGGGAATTTTTCTCTTGGAGGCTCTCATGTGTCTGGACTGCCTCTGAACCAGCAGCAGGCAAAATCTGGTCTCACATTTTCTCCCTCTCCTTGCCCTCTTGACCACCCACTCCTCACGCCGTCCCCTGGCCCAGCCTGGGCCTGACCTCACTAAACCACCATCTGCATCTGACTGCTCTACCTGGACCTCTGTTCCAGGAGCCCACACCCTTGGTGTGGTCCTCAAAATTTCTATCTTTATTACATTGGAACGTTATTTAATATTCCAGAATGATATCTGTATGTCACTTTTTCACTCATACATTCCACAGTGAGGGAAAAAAATTTTACCTAAAAATTTTCCTTTAGGAATTAAAAAAATAGGAAGATAATTCATGACCAATTGTATTCCTTGACGCAACTGTAAGTCCACGTATGTTCTTATACCATGATACACACAAACACTTGGAAACTGAAACTAAGAAATAATATGAGGGTAGAGCATCAAAAACATTCCTACTACAGAGGTACCAGAAGGTTGTATTAT